CCTTTTACCAGTCCGCCACTTTCGATGTGGACATGAGGGCTTTGCGGCTGCTGCTCTGCGCGCTGCCCCCCGAAGTCACTGTCCTGCTGCTCATACTCAGGCACGCTGCTGCTGCTGCTGCTGCTGCTGCGCTGCTGCTGCTGCTGCTGATGCGTTGCTGCTCATCTGTTGCTCCTGCTTTTCTGCTGCGTCTGCTGTGCGGCTGAACTGCGATTGCGCTCCTCCTGCTGGCCTGCTGCTGCTTCGGCTGCTGCGCTCCTGCTGCTACTATTGCTGCTGCTGCTGTTGCTGCTGTCCTGCTGCTGTGCTGTTGCGCTGCGTTGGGTGCTGTTATTTTGTTTTGCCGGCCGCTGCTGCCTTACCACCGCTGCTGCTCCGCTGCGCTGCTGTGGGGTTGCTGCCGCTGCTGCTGCATTTCTGTTGCAACTGCTGCTGCTGCTGCCGCTCGTGCTGCTGCAAGGCCTTGTATGCTGGCGGGCCGCTGCGGGGGCTCATGCTGCTGCTGCTGCTGCCTCTGCATGTAGAGCTGCTGCTGCTTCTGCTGCTGCTGCTGCTGCTCCAGGGCAGAACTACCGCTGGACTTGTCAGTAGTATTTGCTGCGGGTCGCCGCAGCAGCAGCGCGGAGCCCCCGACAGACACTTTCACCTACAGCAGCAGCAGCAGCAGCAGCAGCAGCAACGGCGGCAGCTGCGTGTTGGGTGAGTCCCCAACGGAGGTGTCGGAGTACATCCAGCAGCACCTGCAGGGCTTCCTGCTGCTGCTGCTGCAGCTGCTGCAGCCGCGGAATTCCCTGTTTCAGCCCGAAGGAGAAATGCTGCGCCATTTGCTGCGGCACCAACTCATGAGGGGCCCCCAGCCCCACAGCGCGCTGCAGGACATTATTTGCTGGCCCTACAGGCAGCAGCAGCAGCAGACGCAGCTCGTTGACGAGGTCCTAGCTGAGGTCAGCAGCAGCAGCAGCAGCAGCAGCAGGCGTAACGCGCGGCGGTGTAGTAGGCAGCAGCAGCGGCAGTAGCAGTGGTTTTGTAGCAGGGAGCGGCAGTTCTTGTAGCAGGGAGCAGCAGCAGGAGCAGTTGCTGTAGCACAGAGCAGCAGCAGAAGCAGCAGCAGCAGTTGTAGCAGAGCACTGAGAGCAGCAGCAGCAGCAGCAGCAGCACGACCCGGGCCGCGCCCTTGGGCATCCCAGCACTAGCAGCAGCACTAGCAGCAGCAGCAGCAGCAGCAGCAGGAGTTTGTGTTGCTGCGCGTTTGTGGGTGCAGATCAGCAGCTACAGAGCAGCAAAAGACATGGCCCCGGGGCAGTTTGTGCTGCTGCCGCAGCAGTGGCAGTACTATGACCCTCACTGCAGCTTTTTTTCGTGGGCAGAGTACGAGCAGCTGGAAGAAGAATTTGCTGCTGCAGCGAAACAAAACAAGTTGCTGCTGCAGCAGTGGCTGCCTCCGGCGCCGCTGTCGCCGCCGCTGCCTCAGGTGTACAGACAGGGCTTCTTCAGATTTGCGCTGAGTGCAGCAGTCCGCTGCGTGGTCTTTTTGCTGCTGCTGCAGCAGCTGCTGCTGCAGCAGCAGGACTCCAGGTACCTCTACCTCACTCTTTCCCTGCTGCTGCGCCTCATGGCCCTCGAGGCCCAGGCGCAGCAGCAGCTGCCTCCCGAAGAGCTGCAGCGCCTGCAGCAGCGGCAGCAGCAGCAAGACGCCCTTGTCGCCTTCTTCCGCGCGAACCCACGCATTGCCAGGAGCCTGGCAGCAGCAGCAGCAGCCCACCAGCAGCAGCAAGCAGCAGCAGCAGCAGCAAGCGCTGCTGCTGGCGAGTCCCCCTCCTTCCCCTCCGCCCAGACCCCCACCCCCGCCGCGGCCCCCAGCAGCAGCAGCCCCAGCAGCAGCAGCAGCAGCAGCAGCAGCAGCAGCAGCTTGAGCGAGAGCACGCTGGCTGCTGCAGTGGAAGCAGCAGAACTGGGGCTGCTGAGTGTGGAGGCCTCGCGGCTAGATGTCTTAAATGCTTCGCGGTGGGTCGGCAGCAGCAGCACGGAGTTGCTGCTGCGCTGCTTCACTCTGGTGCATGCATGGACTGGGGCGGGGCCCGAGGAGGAGAGCAGCTTCCGCAGCAGCAGCCACGCGGCCCTCGACCTCAGCAGCAGCAGCAGCAGCAGCAGCAGCAGCAGCAGCGGGGGGGGCGAGGAGCTGCTGCACGAGGTGGCTGTCGAAGACGCGGACATCATGGGGCTCATTCGCTTTGGAGCCAAGGGGACGAACAGCAGCAACCAAAGGCAACAGCAGCAGCAGCAGCAGCAGCAGCAGGAAGAGCAGCAGCAGCAGGAGTCAAGTGCTGCGGCTGCTATTGCTGCTGCAAGGCGCGCAAGGGATGCGTTCGTATACTCAAGGCGGCAAGCCGCAGCTGCTGACCAGAGAGATCAGCAGCAGCAGCAGCAGCAGCAGCAGCGGGAGCTGCCAGAGCCCATGGACGCTGAGGAAGGTGGGCCTCCTCCTTTCGCTTCTCCTACGGGAAGGGAGCAGCGGCAGCAGCAGCAGCAGCAGCAGCGACGTTTCGGTCCATCGCAGCAAGACCCGCAGCAGCAGCAGCAGCAGCAGCAGCAGCGGGAAGCAGCAGCAGCAGCAGCAGACAGCGAGAGGTTTGCTGCTTGGCTGCGGCGGCGGTTGCGGCTGTTTTCTGCGTGGCCGCTCAACAGCAAAGTGACAGAGGGACTTCTTGAGTGTCTTCCGCCAGAGACGAGGCAGAGCAGCAGCAGCAGCAGCAGCAGCAGCAATCCTCCAACCCTAGTGCAGATATCTGACACTGGGGTGGTGCTGCAGGACCTCACGGAGCAGCAGCAGCAGCAGCAGCAGGGGATCCCAGACCCGATCGACCTCGCGAGCGAAGCCTACGAGAAGTACTTGGGAGGTGTGCAGCAGCAGCAGCAGCAGCAGCAGGAACAGGAGCAGGAGCAGGAGAAGGAGCAGGAGCAGCAGCGGGAGCAGCAGAAAGTAGAGGCGGGCACAGTCGGCAGCAACAGACTCTCGCCGGATTCTCCATCAGCAGCAAACAGCCCGATTTACTCGGGCGCTGCTGCTGCTGCTTCTGCTGCTGCTGCTGCTGCTGCTGTCCCTGAGGCAGAGTGGCTGTGGAGCCGCATATTTCTTCAGGAAGAGGACAGCAGCAGCAAAATAGAAGAAGTACCAGAGGAGGCCACGGGCGCGCAGGCGGAGGCAGCAGCAGCAGCAGCAGCAGCTGCTGCT